TTTCCACAAACTTTTGAAATATTGGAGCAATCACCGACACTTTATAGTTTGGCTTTCTATGCAAGCCAAAAATGAGCTGAGAGCACAAAAGGTTTGCAGAGAGTAGCCTACTTCTGTTAGTTTGGCTGGGATAATTTCAAGTTGCTTTGTCTGCCAAATTATATATTATACGTCACTAACCACGATGAAATATGACACACTTCTACAAGTGAAAACAGAAGTGATGTCCCACTCAAAAATACTAAATCTGAGTAACATTTTATAAAAGAATAAGCCCTTTAGACTGGTGGGACATTTACCACAAGGCGAATCTTCTGGCATGAATCTGCACCTATTTTAAGAAGAGCCAGACTATTAAAGGGGTTTGCCAGGTTGATGTTATGAAAAGATCATCTTGTGAAAAAGGCCTCCAATTTAATGACAATGGAAATCCGCCATTGGTGAAAACAGCACAGATAAAATGGTTGAAACTGATTACAAACAGGTATACAGAGCAAATCTTAAAAGAGGCTAGATCTCCCTACTCTGTGCTGCATTCCACATAAAGCAAACATCATGAACCATGTACAAAATCTCTGGATTAAAATATCAGAGACTGACTTTATGGTCAGTGGGGGGAAAAAATGCGCATGGCGATTTTGGGAGTAAAAAATGCGCACCCATTTCTACAGCGCTGTGGAGGAGTAACCAACAGTTGGAGATAAGGCATGATAAACCAAACCTTTGATGATAGTTTCAATGAATACCAAATCCAAAAATAGTGCACTTTTGTTTTTCATTACGTATTTGAAAAGCGGAAGCTCCAATTTATGATGATATCAAGTTTTCCATGACAACGGTAAACTTTTCGATTTCTCAGCTCATTGACTGCATTCCAAAGGTATTATCACAGCATTACACTACTTCAGTGTTGAGGTCATTGCCCATAACCAGATGTTGTTGCTCCTCCCAAGTGGCATGTCTAGAGGGGCCTGCGCATTTTTTAACCTCAAATTTTCTGTAGTGAGGGGAAAAAATGCGCACCATAAAGTTATATTTTCGTCGGAAAAAGGCTCTGTATCTGTTCTTAAAACATGTGACATATGCAAGAATGAAACCATATTTCACAACCATATGGATTTGGGAAAATTATTTTCTAGAAACCAAGAAGTTTACATAAAAGGTCAAGTTATAACTTTCTAAAAAGACTTTGGATCCTTTTCATAAGAGCATTTGCCTTTCTAATAATTCTTTTAAAAACGTATCAAAAGACGCTTTGCATGGAATATACCAAGAAGTTATCTTGTGCAGAGGGGCAGAGGGGAATACCTTATCTCGGGGGGATGTCAAAGTTTTGATTCCGTCAGCTGATCTAACTGTCGTCAGATGACTATGATGTAATATTTAAATTTTACCTTGCTGAAACAGCAATAAGTGAATTACAATAGATGCTATTTATGGGCCATTTTATGTCTTGCGTGTCTCTTGATGGCTATAAAAGCTTTTCCACTGAAGACAAGATCAGTTTATTTTAGAAGACTACAAATTAAGTCGCATTGCATAGATTGAAAGCAAAATGCCGAGGACGTATGTAAAAAAAGCAAAATCTTGGCAAGAGAGCGATATGGAGAACGCTTTGCTAGAAGTTTCAAGGGGCGATTTAAGCATCAGGAAAGCTGCAAAGACATATGGTTTATCAGAATCGGTAAGTTACTTATTCAACTGATTCAACAGGCAGATATTTTGTGAACAATTTATTTTCGAAAGTTTATCAATCTTCAAAACCAGAGTAATTTTTACATGGCCGAATTAATTTCGATAAGATTGTAGTAGCTAAATCAAATTGAACAAAATGGAATAAATCTTTGCTTGATAATTGTTTTTGAAAGAAATTAACACCTGATATTTAATCTTATAGAACATCCGCCGTCGAATTGGCAAAGAGAAGATTGGAGTGCCCGTAACACACCAAGGGCGAAATCCGATGCTGGACAAAGAGACGGAAAAAAATTTGGCTGAATGCATCAATGTTATGTGTAACCTTGGTTTTAGCCCCAGCACAAGTGAAATATTGGAGCTGGTCACTGAATATGTAGCCAAGAATAACATCGTGGTACCTCTGTTTAAAGATGGCAAACCAGGAAGATTTTGGCTGGCTGCTTTTATGAAAAGGAACAACCTTTCTCTGAAGAAGGCAGAAATGATCAGTGTGGCCAGAAAATCAGCAACAGGAAACCCTTTCGTAATATATGACTTTTATGAAAAAATTGATGAACTGGTCAAGGAAAAAGCATTTAAGCCTCATCAGATATGGAATTGCGACGAATCTGGTTTCCCGAATGACCCCCAGCGATGCAGAGTGATTGGGAAAAAAGGCCAACGCACATTCAGAATTACATGTGGTCCCGGAAGGGAAAACACAACAACACTTGCAGTTTGCAATGCTGCTGGCCGTGCTCTCGACCCACTGGTGGTTTTTTCCGGGAAAAATCTACAGTCAACATGGCGAGGAGAACGAGCACTGAAGGACACCTGGTATGGAGTTTCAGAGAACGGATGGATGACAAGTGAGCTCTTTGCATCTTGGTTTGACTTATTTGCCAAAAAGGTCACAGAGCGTCCACTGCTGCTTGTTTATGATGGTCATCTCACTCATGTGACTCTGCCAGTTATAGAGAGGGCAAGATCCGAAGACATTACTATTGTCAAATTGCCTCCCCATACTACAGATCTCCTTCAACCACTAGATGTTGCCTGTTTCGGACCACTAAAAAGGCTATGGGGACAGAAACTGAATGATTGGGTCAGCCAATGGGGTGCACGAGAACCAGTAAGAAAAGCGCAGTTTGTCAACCTGTTGTCGGAAATTTGGCATCTTGGTTTATCTTCTCAAAATATAAAAGCAGGGTTTGAAGCCACTGGGATTTTTCCTGTCGATAGCTCAAAATACCCAATTTCAAGGCTGGATGCCAACATGCTTAAAAAGTACAAGACCTGGGTTGAATCTGGTAAACCAGAAAATGCTCTTGACAACCTGTTGCACGAAGCAAGGACCAGTCCAAAAAAAGCAGCATCGCCAAAGAAAATGTCAACCCCCAAGAAGACATCAACACCAAAGAAGTTTTCTCCAAAAAAAACAGCATCCTTTAAAGAACAAGCTTCACCAGATTGCCCTGCCTGTAAGGAACTTGGTCCTATGCCATCAAATGCACCAGAAGGAAAGCAGTGGATAAGATCCTGGATTTTAGTCAACGACCCTGTGGTTGTCGCTACAGACTCTTCACCCTCAACTTCAGCAAGTTTTGAAGAACTTATTTTGCACAAAATTAAGGACTCGTCAAAAAAGGAAACCAAGAAGCGAAGGAAGATTGACCTGAAGACAAGAGTTGTGACCGATGACGATTTTTACAAAGCAATTAAGGAAAAGGAAGAGAATGAACCAAAGAAAGGAGGTATCAGAAAAAGAGGAAGACCAAGTAAGAACGCTGTTCAAGGAGGCGCAGAATGCAACATCTCAGCCGGGAAGCGACGACGAACCGAATCAAATATCGCAAATGACGAAGCTATCTCAGACGATTCAACGGATAGTAATGATTCCCAGAGTGACTGGAAAGAAACAAATAATGGAAAAGAAGTCGGAGAAATACAAAAAGAGCAAAAAGGCCAGGAATCTGCGGCAAAAAACAGAGGAAACACTGAAGAAAGTTTGGCTATGGAGATCAGCCTGATAACGGAACAAATGGATGATGACAAGAAAGGTCTTTTCTATTGCGTTTATTACGGGGACCAGTTTTATTGGGGGAAAGTACAAAAAACGTTTGCACAGGATCCTGATGACAATGCTGACACAGTAGAGATGAACTTCCTCCGTTATCGAGGTGATGGATTTTGGGATTTCCCTAAACTGCAAGATGTTGAAATCGTTGATGTGAAGTACCTGTTTCTTGGCCCATGTCAACCATCGCAAATCGTCAGTGGCAAAGGATACAAATTCGAAGAAGATTCAGCTGCACACTCACGATTCAGTATAATAAGAAAACATGACTTCTACGGATGTTGAAACTATTTTTTATTAGCTGTATTTTTAGCTTATTGACATATGTATTTTTTGTATTAAATGGAAATCTTGATTTAAAAAAATTATTTACAGCAAATAAAAACAAATTTATTGAATCAAATCAACATTTTTTCATAATTGAGAGGTGCGCAGTTTTTTGCCACATGTGCGCATTTTTTCTCCTTTTTGTGGTTAAAAAATGCGCACCAGTTTTTCATTCTTAAAAAATAATCTCTTAAAGAATGGGTAGCAATTTTTTGTTGCTAAAGGAACTTATCAGGGCTACTTTGTAACTATACATAATTTTTTCCAATATGTGTGAACAATCGGGGGGAAACCGAAAATTTCTCAAAAATGCGCATTTTTTCCCCCCACTGACCATACATCTCATATAAAAAAAATTTAAAAATTCCCAAAATTGAAATTCCTTTTACTCAATGAATTGCTTTTATCACCAATCTAACTCGGGTGTAACAGAATTTGAACATGCTTTTTGGTTCAAACAATGAAAAAAATAATACCAATCTTTTTTAAACATTGATGTTTAAGTTCATCTTTGTAAGACAGAAGATTCTTATCAAAATATTACTTAACTTCCCAGCAGACTGGCTATGTGACTTAAAACAGTCTATTTTTAACTATATATACATTGTTTTCTATTTGGTAATGTTCATGCTTCTTTTGATAAACCCATTAATAGGTAGATGACTATACTGTGCATTACCAAAATTATCTTCAACATTTGACACTTAAAAGACAGGTCATTTAAAGTAACCTTAGCAAAACAAACAGGCAGTTTTAATTAAAATAATGGGACATATGCTTTGATAAAGTCCATTATGTTTAGCCAAAGCAATGATAAACACAAACTGAGATCAAAGGGTAAATTTATGTGGCCATCATTTTCGTGTTTTGTACTATAGTAGAATATGAATTCAGCTGCTGAGGTGCATTGCTTATTTGAGTGATTACTAAAAGAGACTCACTCCTAATGTACCTAGCAAGCAAAAACTTGATGAAAAATTAACTTTGTCTGAAAACACACATCTAACTTCTCCAAGCTGCTAAACAGCTGTCTATCCATCTTCTGCCTCAAACAGGTAGATGAAAGGAGCTGCTGGTTTTCATTTTGTGCACAAAATCTCGGCTTCTGGATTCAGATGAGGTTGATCAAACAATATTAAAGACTCTTAAAGACTGTTAGATGAATACTGGTTTTCTTAATAACATAAAATGTTCTAAAGAAACAGTAGTTATAAGACTTACCAATATTTGGATGATCGAGAAACTTCATGATACTGACTTCGCGAAAAAGCTAGAATACATGATGCAGCTGCATAAATACTAAAATCTTATCCAAAAAAATCAGCAGATTATTGAAATAAAACACACACATATATATATATGAAGATTCATCAAAATCT